CGCGGCCCCCCTCCCCCCCAGCCGCTGGCACACACCTGCGCCGCGGGACGAGGCACAGACAGCACGGTGCGGGAGCGCCGCTGTCCCCCGAGCAGGTGTGCCACGCAAGCCCGCTGTGCAGCCCGCGCCAGCCCTCCGGAGCGCACCTCCCTGCGCAGCCTCGGTCACAGGTGGCTGCGTCACCTCTCTCGTCCCATCGTCCCCAGTGACGTCGGCACGCACCTGCGTCAGCTACCGAGACAGAGTCGCTGCGGCACCCTGCACACGCCTACGCAAGTGAGCCGAGCACCGAGCCAGCAAGCTCCCCGTCACGTGCTGCGCTGCTGCGCATGCGCAGACTCCGTCAGGGACCCCCCCACACACACACACGAGCACACGCGCATACACACACGCACACACATATACATGCACGCATACGTTTGCTGGTTCGAACCCTCGCCGCCTTGGGCCCTTCATTGCCCCGCACCTGCCGGGTTCCCAGGAAGCCGACGGATCTCCGCTGGGCCCAGCCCTGCCGCCACCTCCGAGCCGGCGCAGGGCTGAGGGGCTCACGGACAGTTCCCAGGGCAACCAGAGCCCAGCGCTGCGTGTCCCAGCATGCCCCGCGGCCGCAGCCAGCCGGCCCAGCCGAGCTCCCTGGGAGACGTAGTCTGGAACCCCCGGGCGGAGTGGCGGGGTCCCAGACTGGCCCCCAGCTGCAGACCTGCTCTGGTCTCTAGGTCGCCAAGACGTCGCTTCCTCCCAGCGACGTCCCTTTCGTAGCACCCTGGGGGGATGGCACCCAGTCTCTGGAGGCCTTCGTCTGGAGGCCAGTGCCCGAGCTCGCTGGACTACAAACTCGGGGCGGCCCGTCCTTCTGTCCCGGTCCCTTGGGGTGCGGCCATCACAGGGTCCAGTGTGTTGCAGGCACTTCGGTCCGATTTTTGACGGTTAATTCCACATTTTCTAATTTATCTTATGGAAATAGCTGTGGGGGTACCAAACATGTTCAAAGAATACAACTGCCGGGACCAGCAGTTAGCGTAATGGCTGTGTCGCTGGACTCCCACATAGTGGACTGTGGTTCGAGTCCTGACCCAGTGGCTTAAACTCACGCCTGGTGCGTGTGCGTGTGTGCCCAAGATCCCGAGAGGAGAATGGACTGCGGTGTGGCCATCCCCCCAGGGGTTGATATCTCACTTTCTGTCTCTCTGTCTGTCTGTCTTTCTGGCAAATGCATGCGCCCTATAGGAAAAACCTCTCCAAAAAGAAAAAAATATATATAGAATACAACTGCCTTAAACTGAGAGAGCTGCAGATTTCCACGCGCTACGTGGACAGCGGCTGTGCCCATCTCATCATGCCACCACCTCCCACCAGGACGTCCAGAAGGCTGAAGTTTATGGAGGCTGTCCAGTTTTTTTTTTTGGAGAGATTTTCACTGTAGGGCGCGTGCACTCGCCAGACAGACAGAGAGAGACATAGAGACAGAAAGCGAGAAATCACCCCCCAGGGGGGATGGTCATGCCGCAATCCCTTCTCCTCCATTCTCCTCTCGGGATCTTGGGCACGCACGCACAAGCGCCCGGCGTGAGTTTTAAGCCACCGGGTCCGGGACACGAACCGCGGTCGACTACGTGGGAATCCAGCGACATAGCCATTATGCTAACTGCTGGTTCCCAGAGGCTGTCCAGTTTTCAGAAAGTTTTAAAAATTAAAAAAAATAGAAATGTCTGCAGCAGAGAACAATACATATGCTATATAATGGCATGGAACACATTCACTCTTTAATGATAAGACTCATATGAGGAAAAGATTAGCAAGAACATGAGTTCTGTTTTAGTCTGCTATAGGGCACATGCACTCATGAATGAGAGAGAGACAGACAGACAGGAATCGCATCCAGAGAGAGAGAGAGGAGAGAGACAGGAATCACATCCAGAGAGAGAGAGAGAGAGGAGAGAGAGAGACAGGAATCGCATCCAGAGAGAGAGGAGAGAGAGAGAGACAGGAATCACATCCAGAGAGAGAGAGGAGAGAGAGAGACAGGAATCGCATCCAGAGAGAGAGAGACAGACAGGGATCGCATCCAGAGAGAGGAGAGAGACAGGAATCACATCCAGAGAGAGAGAGGAGAGAGAGAGACAGGAATCGCATCCAGAGAGAGAGGAGAGAGAGAGACAGGAATCGCATCCCAGGAGGGCCCCTTCTCCATTTTCCTCTAGGGATTTCTGGGCATGCACAGGTGCTCAGTGTGTTTTCAAGCCAATGGTCTGAGAAGTGAGCAGTAGACCACGTGGGACCCAGCCACCTTAACTACTACGCCACCAGCTGGCCCAAGAAAGTGAGTTTAAAAAGGTAGGGACCAGCAGATGGTTACATCACTGGACTCTCACGTATTCTACCACAGTTCAAGTCCCAGACCCAGCAGTTTAAAACTCATGCCAGGTGCATATGTGTGTGCGCCCCAAATCCCAAAGGGAGGATGGAGGAAAAGGGGCTGCAGCGTGGCCATTCCCATTTCCCTGGGGGATGATTTCTTGCTTTCTGTTTCTCTGTCTCTCTGATGAGCACACATAGCCTGTGTGTGTGTGTGTGGGGGACACGCAAAAAAAACTCTCTTATAAAAAGCCTTTTTTAACTTTTTTTTTTCTCTTTTTTTGGAGAGGTTTTTGCTATAGGGCGCGTGCGCTCACCAATCAGAGAGAGAGAGACAGAGAGACAGAAAGCGAGAAATCACCCCCCATGGAGGATGACCACGCCACAATCTCTTCTCCTCCATTCTCCTCTCGGGATCTTGGGCACGCATGCACACGCGCCCAGCATGAGTTTACGCTGCTGGGTCCGGGACTTGAATCGCGGTCGACTACGTGGGAGTCCAGTGACATAGCCATTATGCCAACTGCTGGTCCCATGAATGAAATTCTTTTTAATGAGCAACATTAACAAGTAAGATTCTAAGACACAGAAGAACGAAATGTTCCATTCCCACTAGCACTGAAGCCAGGGCCATGCTTCTGCACTGAAAGTTGAACTCAGCAACTAAGCTAGGAAGATGCCGGAGGGAGAACATCAGCAAGAGGCTGAAGCCTGCGTTCTGGGTGACCTGGGTGAGGGTTAAGTGGCCGCCACCACACCCTTTCCCCGCACCCTGGCTTGTTCTCAGACGGCCTTTGCTACCTGTCCTGTGCTCGGGGGAACGCTAACCTGCACGATGCATCTGTGTAAGGTGCCGGGCAGCAGTGCCTATTGTCATGCTTTGTGAAATTGACGCTAAAATCCTAGAAAATATAATTCTGTATTTTTTGTAATTTGTTGCCATGGGATTCATTTCAAATGATGTAA